TGGTTTACAAGAGATTCTTTCTGAAGAACCAAATAATATAAAATAGCAAAAACAACTCATATAATACATTCTCTTTTTAATATAAGCACTATAGTAATAGCTTAAGAGAGATTCGCGAAACTAATCTTCTTAAAAATAATTCTCCATGTTAAAGGTATAATTTTCTGGATCAGTTTTCCAGTTACTCGGTAAATGTTTGTCAATCTTACCCGTTGTAATCATGACAAAGCATGTGAGGATTACATTGTAATCATTTCAAAGCACTTGGTCGCATTGAAATGCTAAAAACGACGAGTTTTTACATATTTAAAAAGGATATAAATTTACACATTTTGTGAGAAAATAAATTGATTAAGTGTGCTAGGGTAGTTATAAATTACATTACATAACTACTAAACCAATTGAAAAATAGTTGAAAATCGTTTAAATCTGTTGGATCACAATCAGAATATTTATTACTGTTGACCGGAAAAAATTTGGCCAGTTCCAAAATATAAATATAAAATGACTAAAGGTGATTTTAATACTATCCAAAGCGCTGTTGTATGTTTTAACTGTTTCTTCATAGAATTTTTTGGAGGTTGGTTCAATACCAAATTAAATAACGTTTTTGCCTTATGTTTCTACTGTACTTAAAAGCCTGAAATATACAGTGCAGGTGGCGTAAAACCTTTCTATCAGCATGACCTTGACGATGTCATGAAGATTGAGACATAAACAATACATCTGTATATGTTAAAGATTGAAAATAAGGTACATTATACTTCCATAGATTTTATAATATCATTACTAGTTTCCTAAAATGAAAGATATATTTTTTATCAAGGTTTATTAGTGGTTAAGTATGGAATTCAATGAGCTCGAGTGATACATTTTAAGATGCACCTCAGTTTGGGTTTATAGATAAAATAAAAATCTTACTTTTGAGGCAAATAGAATATTCGAATCGATAAATCCAGTAAAGAGAGCAAAGCGGCTGCCAAAGGCTTAACGTATTGGGGAAATCAAAGGGTAACGTAAAAGCATGTGATCATGATTTCTTTAAGCTGATGACGTCGAATTCCGAGTTTTTCCGAATTTTGTCAAAGCCCCAGGAATATTTGAAATTCTTCAGGAATTTCAATAAAAGCTCTAAAATAACAACGCATTATAGGGAATGACGCTCCTTTCCAATTTAGATATGTTTATATAAACCAAAAATGAAATTGGGAATACATTTATTTACTTTTAATATTTTGTTACTCCATTATACTTTTATACTTATAACCAGAAATATGATGATAAATTATATTTATAAAAGATTTCCTGGGATTGTTTAACAAAGATGAAAATTTGATTGACAATAGTACATTGTATCTATGCTTTAGTCAAAATAAATTATAGTTCAAACTAGAATTTTTAGGTCTTATAGATTGTTTAAGTTTTTAGGTCAAACTCGGTTTTAAGTCTTTAGGCTTTTTTAGTAGGGTAACATTTAAAAATATTCACGTAAAATGTAGCCTAGTGAGAAAATCACAAATGATTAAAAGACTTGTAAACATTGAACCCATTATTTTAAAAACATTGAAGGTAGGACCGTTCATTAAACGTGATTCTCTTTAAAAAATCCAAAACACAAAAGCTAACAAGTTTAACAAATCTACGCTTAATGATGATCGGTTTTTAACCACTAAATTATTTGATGATTTGTACGCCTATATACTTATGAACTATAAAACTATGAACAAACTCCTGCATAGTATTTCATAGAAACAATTATTTTTATACGCTATTGGATTTCAGAATAGTCGTACAATTTACTTTAGTATGTTCCATTGCACCTTCCTACACTTTTTAAGTGTTAATTAAATAATTAAAACATATTTTATAACAAAAAATATTGAGAAAAAGAAAACATACTGGAATTCAAGTAGCCAAATAATAAATTAACAGCCTTGATACCTTGACTCTACACTCAAAATGTATTGCACTGAGGGGAAAGTTTTTTTCCAAAACTTTAATATTATTACTCACTATCATAAAATCGAATTAAGAAAATAACAACGTAGATTCATACGTCAATTCATGAGTTATTCCTTAAATAATTGATATACTATTTTCGAAATTATACAGTAGTAAATATTCTATCTGATCGATATTTTTGTTGCACATCAAGATCAAACAAATCTATTATGCTGAATAAACGAGTTTTTTTTTTACATTCAAGCATTCGACTAAAAAAGTTTTTACTTACTATTATTTCAACGATTTTAAGAATACTGTAAACAAAAAACCGTTCATTTATATAATTTATTTTCTGTGATGATAATTTATTGGTATTAAAATCATTTAATTTGGATGATTATTTTACTTTGACTTTACAAATATTCTACTGTAAAACTAATTAATTGAAAATCATTTCAACAGAAAATTGAAAATTTAAACTTATACTATGCTTTCGTTTTAAAAAAACTTGACATTTACTACGTTTATGAATGTTATTTCAACAACATTTTCAAATGGACCACAACACTAGAATAATCTCTTCCATAAACCCGTGTTTGTGGATGGACTTCAAAACTAAGCATGACATCCCGACTTGCTCTAGCTTACCCGTCCGTCGCAGTATGATAATTAATTTTATAATTCTGTTACTACGATTTCATTTTGACCTTCATAAAAGTAATTTCTATATTTGCGTGTGTTCGAAACATTCTACCATGTTATTTTACTCAGCTGGCCATAATCGTTGTTCAGTTGGAAAATCTCACAGAACGAATGAGCTTAATAAAATATCCGAGGAATTGAAACAATTTGCTATTTATGATCGCTGTAACCTCATTTCCTTCTCGGCTATAACTCGATAATAAATACTGAATTCCGATTGGAGATTATTTATTCGATACAGACAAATTTATCTGAGCATTTTCACTTTTATTGCATTCCTCATTGAATTAATGCGCTAATTTGTAACTGGTAAATCTTATTGATAAAACACACTCCCCTTTCTAGAAATAAAAAATAAGCAGGGCTGTCTACGCACAGCATTCACATGATACGTATTAGTTGATTTATTCTATGGTATTAGTATATTATAGAGTGATCTTACAGACTTAAAATATGAGATTAATTTTTTACCATGTTTTATTGCTTGATCTTCTTCAATTTTGAGAAACTTTTTGTTTTAAAGTAAGATTTCACACTTAAACTAGATTAGTGTTTTTTTGGCAATCTTAAATATATTATTACTTATAATAGGTACAGCACTGGATTTCAGTCCCGGGTTCAAATCATGCCTAATTACATATATATTTTTTTATTAGTGATAATGCCTTAACTAGGTCCAGCCTGAAGTAATGCGAAAAACAAAATCGAGCTCGTGCCTAGCGTCCTAGGAAAAAAACAAAAAAGAAACATCATAGGGCTACGGTACACTCCCTTAATCCACTTCAATAACCATTTACAAAACCAACTGAGATCTTGTTAAGCGAATATAAAAGAATATACTTCCTTAATTATGTCAAATTGTATTATAACAAAAACACAAATTAAACAAAACCGTTTGACTTAAACAAGTCAAATGAAGTGACACAATGACATCAATACCACAAACGGGGGTTGACATTATTGAGATTGATCGAGGAATTTATTTGGTGTTAAAAGCGTCGTCCATCATTGTATGTCAATCAGTCTCAATCTGTCTTGGTTTATTGTAAAGAAGCAAGAAGCGTGAGTTACTTGAGGCTTAAACGAACAAATATATAAAGAGAGTTGAGTTAATGAAAACTGGTTTAAAATTTGCATACCACATTAGAGGTTCAATAATACGTGAAAAATATGTATTTAATTTGTATCCGATCTTATATACATTGATAGTTAGTTCTATGGACATTTTACCGGAAGAGGTTGACAAAAATCATGGAACATACTCTAGTTAGTAAGTTAAATGGTTTCAACAGTTTTCATGATGTAGTGTTGGTCTTGAAGAGCTTGGGTTCTGCAACAATGGATCAGCTGTTTGTGGAAATAATTTTATCATTTGATTACATTTCAAAGCCGAATATATTTTGATTAAGAGGGTTCTCCTCGGCCAATTCAAGATGGGTACTAAACATGCTAATGTTTCTAAACATACCTCTATGGAAGTGAGAGAGCACTAGTGATGATAGGCAATCCCTTATGGTACCAATCATTCAATTAAAACTTGAAGGTACAAGTTTTTGTTTAGTTTTAATATAAGTTTAACTTTTAATACTCTAGTGGTTACTCATAAGTTAATTTCATTAAATGCACATTTAGAAATAACTTGACCCGTTCCACCCAATCGTAATCCGATTTACACTTCGACGGTTTTAATATAGCCCAGGGCCCTATTAACGGTGCCTACCCGTGACATGTGGTCTGTTAAAAGCTTTCAAATCCAAATGGAAAATTGGCAGGCATGTTCATTGACGTGAAAATCAACGTTTTACCTATGAGAACGTTTCTGGGAAAATCCTGTACATAGCTTCAGTAGTACTAATACATTTTAACCGTATGTTACCCACCAATATAGATGCGCTAAGCAAATTTCCATTTGCCTAATTGGATTTTCACTAAAATATCTCCTTAAAATGTCACATTTATTTCATATTTAAAAAACGTTAGTAAATACATTTGCTGCTACAGGAAAGGTAAAAGACTTTTTTAGCAAAATGTTACTAGTTTAGTATGAAATAAATACGTTTCAAAAATATGTTCATATCAAGCAAACTACAACAGTTTGCTATTATCCTATGAAATAGGTTGGAATCCTTACTAGTTTGCCACTCAAATCAACAGGGTGTGGTTGGTGGTGAATAAATAAACAAGGTAGTTTTATACATATTCCTAATTACTTCAACAGTATATCACACGCAACACGAACTTATACTGATGCCGAAGTAGAACTGGTCAAGTGTGAAAAGTGTTTAGTAAATTGTAAACTTGTAAACTTTTAAAGCAGAACTTGTGATTATTTTCTAACTATCGTGTTTGGCAACATGAATCCCCCGTCTCCACCAGAGCACGAGCAGCAGTGGTCTCCCTCATTGTTTGAAATGAGATTGAACAAGATTGAAGAGTATTTAAAGTGCACGGAATCCAGTGAGTTTACCAACTCAGGTAATGTCCGCTCTCCAGATACGACTGACAGGTCAGTAAATACCAACATCACGTGTCAATCAGATGTTGAAGGCAGACATGACACTTTTCATTTTGGTGAAGATAATTTTCCACATTCCTACTTCAGAGACATCACAAAGTCAATAAGCTTGCCTGGGTTTCAGTTTCTTGGGGAAAGAAACCAACCTCGATTTCACACCTATTTGTGGGTATTTATCCAAATGATGGCATTATTTCTGAGTCTATTTTTCATCAAGAGTGAGTATGACAGCTGGCAAAGTACACCTGTTATTAGATATATCTCCAATAACTTGACTTTGGCCAGTGAAATCCCATTCCCAGCTATAACAATATGTTACCCGCTCGGCCCCATCATCAGATCAGATTATGCTGAAGTAGTAGACAAGTGCTGGAAATGCAAATCCAATTCCACGGATGATGATAATCAAGAATATTTCTATGATGATAACGATGATGGTTATCTGATCAATTATTGTTGTTTCAATGAAGACTGTACCCATGAAGAGCAAACCTCCTTAGGCCTAATCTATCTTCTTTGTTCATCTCTATTGCCTTCTAATTTACAATTATCACAAGTGTTTCACGAAAAGACTCAGCAAACAATCAATTCTGAAGAGTTCCCAAACTATGCATTTAAAGCTATTGCTTCAAAGTATAATATTAATTTATTGAAAGAGATATACGAAGGTGGGCACAGGACAGCATATGATTCAGGCTGTGTTAATAACCACTGTCAATATTCCTTAACAAATGAGAGTATGTGTATAACTGTAAATGGATTGCATCATGAGGATATCTACAGAAAAAACGCAATTCCTTTTTTATCAGTAAAATATGGTTCCAAATTAAATTCAGAGTTCAAGTACAATGGAGAAAATTTGAATTTGGAAAATTCACTCTACCCTGGTAGAAATATACACACCATACCACTGTACATAACAAATGATCAAGCCATGCGTCTTGAGTCACGTATGGTTACAGATGAACATGAAAGTGAATCATGTTTTCATGAAAATAAGGCCAAAACTTCTTTTGCTGTACACAGTCCTTTTGAAGTTCCTTTTAACTTTGGAAGTGACTTCACTTTTGAAGGAGGATTTGTAAAATATTTAAAAGTGTTTCCTAAACTTGTGACAACAGATGAAGGTATCAAAAGCTATTCACATCATCAGCGAGGCTGTTATTTTTCCTATGAAAGGGAGTTGTCTATGTTCAAATTCTACACTGAGAAAAACTGTCTGACGGAATGTATTGCTAACTGTTCTCTAATCGAGTGTGGATGTGTTCCTTATTACCTGCCTCGTCACAACATTTCCACATTGGTTTGCTTTCAAGAATGTCCTGTAAATAAGGAATTGTGTGACTGTGGATGTTTACCAGACTGCATATCCTTTTCTTATGAACTTAAAGAGTCATATAAATTTAGGAGTTTCTTATCTTTTAAAAATGAGGTGGTATTTCGATTGTTTGGATACCTTTTTAATAAAAGGGAGGTTGACGATACTGCTGGAGCAATAGAGTTACAATTAAAAGAAAAAGGAACCTATGCTACGGTTCGGGTTGGTGTAAGCATAACCAACATGAGTCAGTTCTTGGCATACTGTATCAGCATTTTTGGCATGTTTAATGGTTTTAATGTTATGGTTGTATTTGAGTTTTTGTACATGATAACCTTCAAGCTATGGAGCTCTGTAAAAATGTATTTGCATTAAATAGATTTCCAAGCAGGATGTTTGTGGAATCAAAGGGTAAAAAGTCTTTTATTGCTGTTGAACAAATTAACATGTATAGTATAATACCCCCGTCGCAGCAAACCTGCAGACTAAGGAAATTTCAATTTTCCTGAATTTATTTGAAATTAAATCTGTTTAGATAACATTAGGTTTTTTTTTACAAAGGGCTGCTGCTCCATTGAGGCTAATAAAGTTTTTTTTTTGAAAATATTAATAGATTAGTATAAAAAAAGTAAATTTGCCATTATCGACCGAAATAAATCCATTAACAAGCAAACTACAACATTTTTTAAATTATTCTCTATAAAAATAACATGAGGATTTAGAATTTAGAATTTTTGTGCATTTTATCCGTAACCAATAATTGTACAATAACACTTTGATATACTAAATTAGTTTTTAAGCTATTCGAAATGGTCTAGAGAGAAATTGGGAAATTTTGTGTTTTAAGGGTCAAAAATCAGAAAACTCAATTTTTACCCCCATGAAATCCCCTGTAAAACCAGGTTCCTATGGTCCTATTGCATCAAGAGAAGTTATAGTACGGTTTTTTAATACTGTGGGATGGTGTTCAAACCTTTGAATTCCGTTTTGATTCTTTAGTTAGTTCGGTATTATATATTTTTAACACAGCAATTGATGTTGCAGACAAATATTGTGTTTAGTAAAATTAAATGAAATTAAGTTCCAACTGAGGAAAAACGCACATGTAGAGTATTTTTCATGTGACATTGACATTGGTAAAATTAACTTACATCAAGAACAGCGCATTTACATCCAGCAGTTTGCATTGGACGAGGTTGTGAAGAATCACCATAGCTTTTCTGCGTTCACTCGCACGAGAACAACTAGTTTATAGAACGTCCAAGTTTCAAGAGCCTTTTTACAAACACTAGCCTTGCCTCACAATTTAAAGTTGTAAAAGACTATTAAATTATGAATGGCCTTTGGTTTTTACAAACCGGTAAAATTAAATGACCATTTACCGCGTAATGTAACTGGAAAGTTTGGATAGGCTATATTTTTTGTAGGAAAATATGATGACAGATCCTCACATTGCAAGAGACAAAAAAGTCATTCCTAGAGACTATATTCTATTCTATTTAGATCATTTTTGGTTTACAGTTTATTTGGTAACTTTGAATTCAGCGTATTATGGTGCTATTTCAAAAGAGTTTAAATGGTGAATTAGAGAGACGCAGGTGAAGTACCTTAAAAAAGTAGAACCTTTTTGATGGTTCGAAACTGAACCCAGTGCCAGTATGATTAACGATACAATCTCCTTAAACATAAAGTAAAAAAAATCATAAAATCATAAAGTAAAAATATCTTACACATCATTCCCTCATATTTGAGTTAAAATACGCTCCCTTGTAGCATCCCCATATCAGTTGATGATTGATAACTGATCATTTAATTGATAATTTATTTTGAATTCTATTATTACATACTTAAATTTTTTTTCATACGATTGCGCATTTAGTGAAAATTACAAGTTTAAAGACACATAAACTAGAAAATACACAAAATCCTAAAATAATTTGAACAGTTTTTAATTCACATATTTAACTGAAAGCATACAATACCACATGAAATATCTGCGAGGCCCTCTAGAACTTAATGCGTTGACAGTTCGATGTATAATCGATCAGTAGGGTTTGTTTGAATTGTCCCTTTTTATAATTCAGAGCGAGAACGACTGCGGAACTACCTGTGCTTCTATTGAACTCTTCTCTTGCAGAGCTTCTGTGGGATTTGTAGGTCGATAAATTGTGATTTATAAACTCTGTAGGTTTTATATTGTTTACAAATACAATGAGACCTGTAACGAATTGTAATATGTAAAACTTTTCAAATTACTTGGCGTAACATGTATATAATCCATACAATGTTTGATCCCATCACCATTAAATTACTTCCTAGCGAAACGCTTAAACATGTCACAAAATGTTGATGGCCATTTGATTAATTTAATTGAATTGCCATTCCAGAAAAAACGGGTAGAACACAGTTTTTAGAAACATTAATGTGACTTGCCCATACATTTAAAGTAAATCAATGTGAAATTAGAAGCATTGATTGTAAAGTGGTTTTGATTAGGTTCTAGTGGTTCCATTGATGTGGTTTCTGCAGAGCGTAAACTATTTAATTTTCTCCTTTAACCTTTTCTCTGTCAACGGGTTTCAGCAGGTAACGCTTCATTTATATTACAAATCTTTGCAAATCGTTTTAAGATTAAAGAAAACTCAATATAATAATTAACACAAATAACAATCACAAGCAAATTTTAAGATACTGTATAGCTTTAAGATAGAAGGCTGTGCCTCGGCCGTGAAACTTGAGCTAGGGTAGAAAAGAACACTTTCCGCCCTAGTGATGAAATATACTATTTCACTAGAAATCTTGGAGTTCAGCTCTTTCCGTTTTTTGCAGAAAGCTGTTTACTACTTGTTTACTACTTCAGAGACAAGACACTAAATTAGCTTCAGGCTAAATAGGCTTAAATAATAAGGAATTTTCAGTGCAGGCGTTTTAATGTCATGTACATGACCATATAAAACAGTCCTATAGTGAAAATAATTCTTACACTGCAATAAACATAACAATAGCTAAGCATCATTGACATGCGTAAATTATATTAGCTTTACATTTTAAACGTAAAAAATCAGAGTCGTTTCCCCTTTGCATTTTATTACTTTCATACAAAAAGTTGAGAAGAGGGATGAATACAAGTAAACGTATGTAAACACAAGTTTCAGAATAGTTAAAACATTTGCCCTTATTGATTTATAACAGCTAAAGATAATACCAAGTCTATTTTTGTTCAGTTTCTGTTAGAGATTTGACGTTTACTATTTTTTCTAGCGTTTGTAGACCATTGAAAATTCATTGTTATAATCAGCTCCCTTACGAATCCCACTGGTAAACACCTAAAATGGCTTTACATTGTATATTAAATAGGAGGTATATACCCTATTTAATATGATAGTAGCCTTAAGAAAGTTTTGCAAATATACAACGCATGTGTATCACATTAGAAGTTTTGCAGTGATAATAATACAATACAAGCCAAATAAAAATCCTTCATAAATATCTTCACACAACCCATCACCTAGTAGAGTTGTGGCTTTTCTAACAGCTTATGAAATGTCACAGCTAAGACTGAGCAGTTTGTCACACCGTGTGACAGTTATTGTGGCAAATAACATTGAGTGATGTAGTTTGTGTCTAAAAACTTATTTGATAATTTCATTATTGGACTGTACCTATTTAGTGGTTAAAAGAGGATATTTTTGTAAAATATAGCTCTGGTGACTCCACGCAATTATGATTAGAAGTTTAAATTATATTTTATACAAGTTTAAAACATAAATTTAAAAATATACGTGTAAAAATGTATGATTAATGGTATTAATTAATGTAATGAATTACAGTGTAATGCTGTACTGTATGAAAATTTAAAGTATGAAATAGATAAAGATAAATTAATTTCACTTTGTCACAGAAATAGTAAATTTCAGATCACATGTTACAAGAATTTAATTAAATTGTTGATGGGATAACATTTCTAAGATACCAAACATTTAAACTACAAGTATTATATCAGGGATATTTTTGAAACTGAATTTTGTTCCCGTTGCGAATATCGGGTTAGGCAGCTAGTCTTTTGGAATTTGTAAAACAGGATACAGCAAATGAACATCACAACAACTATTGTTTTATAAATTACAACGCATGGAATGATATTAAATTGTTCATGTCTAGGAGCGCATTGCAGAGTTGCATGTGAAAAACTACAGCTGCACGTAAACTAATGTTGCATCATGAATTACTGAGCTAAAAAAGTTTTTATTTTTTATTTTACTTATTTAATTTGTTTACTTTAAATAATTTACTTCATCATTAAAAACTAACTGTAGTGAATAAAAGCACATTGAAAAATGTTCAGGACACCTACATTGTATTGTTTTAGCATATCGGATAAATACAATAAAATTAGGTTTATTAATCTAGCGTTTCTAGGCACATACGTTCTTATTGAACAGCATGTAAAACAAATGAGTATATAATGCATTCTAAATGTTTTTTTTAAGATGAACAAAAATATATTTTGGGACTGAATTGTTAAACAACTTTGACTTGAAGTATTAAAATCCTCTATCAAAATCTCTATCAAACTTAAGCCTCACTCTGGAAAGTAAACCAAGCTATATACATGGTAGCTTATGTGCTAAAATACCTCTTTGTGGAATATGCGCTTCTTAGAAGAAGATCAACCTTTCTAGAAAGTAATCAGATAATAAAAATCATAAAATAAAATTCCCATTCAAACGGTTTTACAAAGATATTACAAAATCAATGACAGACTGATAAGAATCTAGGCTTTTCACAGCCTTTTCTATATGTGTAGTAAAACTGGACATTTCAACAGTTTTATTGTGTGTTCAAATAGTGTTTTCTTTTTCATTAGCCACGTGACAATTGCCAATAAAAGCGAGGATTTCGTTATTTCCAACTTGTTTTTGTGAGAAGAAAGTACTTGGTTGAAAAGAGTACTCGAGATTCTGTGAAGAGCCCTAAGGTTGTAAGATCGTCTTGAGTCTAATTGGTTTGCTTTTATATACGTAAGCCTATTAGACCATATAAGTATAGTACTTTGTTTAAAAAATAAATAAATTTAATAGGAAAATCATTGCATTATTTTAAACTGACAACAAAAAACTTATGACTAGTAGAAAAAATAGAAAGATAAAAATTGGATCTCAAGTTTTTGCACTTAAGGCTTAAATTGTATTTATTAATTTGAACTTATGCTTATGTATTATTTCGGAAGCTTACTTAAATGACTTGACTTAACCATTTAGTGTAACATTCGGTTGGAGAATCTAAGCTATATGTACTACATAAGGTAGACTGCGAAACAGTTAGTCTCTGGCTCATGCAGTATAAAAGATATGATTGTATGTATGGTTTTGTACCCTGAATAGTAGTTTGTGCTATTTTGGACTTTGGCCTATCATACTGAAAAAAAGCGTAAATGACGTATGAAGATAGTTCATCGAAGTATTATAAGAGTATTAACTTTCAAGGTTGTTTCTGTTCGTGTAATTTACCTAGTTAAAATACTTTAATTGAAACCTACCCATATAACTGTATTGAAGTAATACTAAAGTCTTTCAACAACAAACAATGTTAAGCTAACGCCACATATATTTCAAGGCATTAAACGTTTCTCTACACAACATTAGACAACACAACATTAAGCTTGTCTGTAAATTCTACTAAGCTCCCTTGTTTATGGCTTGATCAACGCTCTACAATACAAGTCAAACCACAACATGGTTGTTACACGCATTGTCTGCACAGCTGATTACCATTTAGATCAAGGACCTTCATAATCGGATGGGAAATCCTTAGCTTCCCCTGAACTCATATCATCCTGGTAAATAATGTACTGTATTTTCATAAAAGAAAATTTAATTGAAATATACATTATTTGACTTTGTATCTGCGTATATATAGTATAGTGAAATGGTATATTAAGTTTATCGACCGGGGTGAACCTGAAGTTTGAAAATTGGCGAGAATCAAAAACACATTCATGGCTGTTGTGACTTTTCTATTTCTTTATTTTTTGTGAACTTCCTTGTCTAATTTGTTGGATTAAGATTTGAATAATTTTGGTTCTTAATAATTTACCTTTGGAGAAAAGACAATGGAAATACTGAAAATGTAAGTGAAGGGTGTTAATACATTTATTATTTATCTGTTGATAATTTTACAAAATGTTTTTTAAAACTACCTCCTTGTCAATACAAGGTTAATGTATGAAAAAACTTTACATAACTCAATAAAAATTAATTTGGTATAGAGTGCACCACATGTCAAATGAAAATATCTGTTAATTAAACCACCCGTAAACGTCAAGCGGTTTTTTTTTCAAACATCAATTACAAAATGTTTTCCTCTTTACCTCTTGTACTGTCACAAAACTTTAATCAATTCACAGACTGTAAGAGCTGTAGGATAGGAACATTCAGTTGACATCAGCGTACAAAGCACTAGAAACAACAAACATGTCAAAGCGAATGTAAAATTTGACAATA